AGAAGAAGAAGCCGAAAGAGCAGCAGCAGGAACAGCCGCAGCCAAGCACAAGTGCAAATTAACCACGCTCCAGGTCAGAGTCTCTGGGTGACGGCACGTTGTTTCTGTGTTCTCTGGTTGTATGCAAAACCTGCCCACTTTGCATTCCACTCCACTGTCCACCCCGGTTACAGAAATCTCCCTCTTCCTTGCCAGCGCCCACTGCAGGCGAGACCTTGTGCACATTTGTGTTGTTTGGAGTAAGAATTTTATGCAGCAGCTCATATATTTCTGTATTCCAGTGTGTACAGGCTTCTTGTACGTCCAGCTTGGTTTTCTCAATTAAAAACAGTAGTCAGAACCAGCATGGTATCCTGAGTTTTTAGCTCGAACGTAGCCACGCTAATTCTTTGGCTGCAGGACGCATGTGGGGTGTGTGTCATCCCACTGGACAGTGTGGATGGAGCAGTACGCCTTCGCTTGTGTTGCTGCTTTTCTCCACAGCAGACCCCTGACGGCTCTTTAGCTCTCTACCACTCACTCACAGCTTTTGCCCTGTCCGAGCCACTCCGCAAGATGGGCAGGGAAGAGGCTGCCATCCTTGGGTTCCGAGAGAATACAGGCTTCCTTAACGTCAGAGCCACTTGTGGGGAGGCCAGTGACAGCGTGCTGAGTCTGGCATTGCGAGGCACTCGGGCTCTGGTGCTAGCTGGTTTCTCCCGCCCTTTCGCTCCCCTCCTCTGTGTGACTGAACGGATTGTTGCCCGTGCGTCCCACGTGCCGCTTCCCTTATCCTGAGCCCTTTATACAAGCTTGTCCCTCCGCCTGCTTTCCTTTCCCATCCCTGAGCACTGCAGTGTGTACTTTGGGTCCCTGAGCCCCCAGGAGGACACGGTGTCCTGTGGCTCCCACAGTAGCCGTGCTCACCCTCTTCCTAGCACGTGGCACATTGTATTGTCTCTGCTAAGCTCCTTGACAGCATAGGCTGTTTTTATGATCCCTTGCAGCCCTGGGGCTTAGGTCAGGGCATCGTGTAAGTACCTGCTGAGGGAACTGGTGACCTTTTGGTGCCACCCGAGCTTTCTCTGGCCTAGTCTGGGCAAATAGCCACAATTGCCAGAGAAGCATAGATTTCTTCGCAGCTAAGCCTGGGCTTCTAAACAGGTGTCTCCTCGGCTTCATGGTTGACAAGGATGCCAGGATGGCGGCGGTGTTCTCTCAGCCCCGCTGTGTAACTGCAAAGGGACAGCTGGCCTGAACTCAAAATCGGGGATCACTGAGTGTTGACCAAGTACTAAACGCCGGTGGGCACTTTCATCTGTTTTATCGTTTAACGTGACAAGGTCCTGACATACAAGTCCCAGTACCTTTTTGTAGTTGAGAAGGTGGATACTGAGCACTTAAGACGTGCTCAGGATCGCAGAACAGCCAGGTGGCAGACCTGGGGTTAGAACTGTGAGTATTAACTTATGGGCTCAGGGCAAGTTCAGAAAACTGCTTCAGTCTTAAAAGGACAGACAGCAGTGTTGCCAAGGAATGTCTCCCCAGGGTCACCAGTGACCTGGAGAGGAGATTGTAGTAGAAAACAGTCCTAGTCTGACAGATCAGTTCTTGAGTGACAGCTGTTGGAAGAGGCAGGGGACTCTCCATTATCTGAATAGTACAGGGGAGGTTTAAACAGGTTTAAGGAATCTTAGCAGCACCTGAGTCGTGAATGGACCACAGACAGATCCACTGATGTCTGTTGACATCCTGTTCTTGTCTCCTAACAGGAGTTTCTTTTCATTTTTTGGTGGGGTAATATGTTAAAGGGGTAGGTTTTTGTTTTTAATCTTTATCTTTGAGAGACAGCGTGTGAGCAGGGGAGGAGCAGAGAGAGGGAGACACAGAATTGGAAGCAGGCTCCAGGCTCCGAGCTGTCAGCACAGAGCCCAACGAGGGGCTCGATCTCACAAACTGAGACCATGACCCGAGCTGAAATTGGATGCTCAACCGACTGAGCGCCCCTAAAGGGGTAGGTTTTAAAAGGTAAGGTTAGCCTCCCAAGCAGTTCTGACTTGAGGTAAAGTTTTGGAGAGTCCTGTGGTTTCTTTGGCACCTCCAGTTCAAGGGCAGAACATCCTGAGTATCTGGACCTTCCACTAGAGGAGGAGCCCCTCTCCCCTGCTGATTTACTCATACACAGAAGCCCTGTGGGAGAGTTGATCTTCAGTGCACGCCAGGTACCAAATACTAAGAAACTAGGACAAAAGTTGTCACGGAAACCATTTTAATGCTAAGAAAACGTTTCCACCCAGTGCTGGAGAAGCTGTCGGACCTGGCCAATACTCCACAGGACCTGGGCTCCCCCACCCAGGGTAGTTACTCAGTCACAGCTCCTGCCCCCACTTTGCTCGGGGTGAGAATGTTTCTTAGCCTTGTCTACTGTTGCCTGACACTTCCCTTTTGGGAAGCCAGTTTCCATCCTAAGGTGGCATTTCTCCACATTGCAGCAAGAGTTCTGCTGCTCCCCTACTTGTAGAGCACTGTGTCAGGTCTCAAAGCTCTCCTCACAGTTTGTTCCACTTTAACCAGTGATCCTGTGATGTGTAGGTATTGTTTGTTTCACCAGTGTGAGAATTGGAGCTCAGAGAGGTGAAGTACTTGGCCGAGGTCAAATAGCTCGTAAGTGAAAAGGTGGGATTTGAACCCAGGCAGTCTGGGTACAGAGCCCCTTTGTGCTTAAAATAGGAACCTAGTTAAAAGCAAGGACAGTTTGTTCTTTTTGTTGTTAAACATTCCCATTTATAAAGTTCCCTTTGGAAAGAAAGTAATAAATGTGCAGTTGCAAGGACAGACTCTCAAAGCAACTTCCCTGCCTGATTTTAGTTTGGAAAGAGATGGCTTTGTGAGGTGGGGTGGAGAATTATCCAGAAAAGTCATGCCAGCATGACTGGCTGCTGCAGACAGGCCAAGTGATTTCCATGAATGACTAGATTTTAACAAGTTACTGAATTCTGCAACTTCCTTTCTCCACTGGTGCTTTTCCTTCATAGAAGATCTGAGTGCAGACATGAAGGAAGAAAGCCATGGCTTGGCTTGGGCCAGTGGTTTTGGGAAAAAAGGGGAGAGCGCAGAGTAAGAGCATGAGCATCATTTGCCTTTCTCTAACGTTCTGATTCTAAACTAGTAGGATCTCTCCTGGGAAGAGGGTCCCATAGGAGCACTGGCGGACTCTCAGACCTGGAAGCACAGAATAGGAAGTCTGAGAGGGAATTTCTCCAGCCGGTCTGCCAAAGAGAAATCTGCTCTTGTGAAGACACCACACATCCTGAGAAGTGGCAGCCAGTGCTACTAATGCTGTGCCCGAGAGCCCAGCTGGAGGCCCGGGCCATCTCGCAGCCCCTCGGAGCAGGGCCATTCAGCTCGGTACTGTATTCATACCCTTCAGTTTGAATATGGTGATCCTGATCGTCACAAGTCCTGTAATGTCCTCCTTCCCATCCCCCTTCTTCCAGCGTATTGGTCATAGACCCTGACAGGGTGGCACATAACCAATTCAGAGATCAAGGTCAGCTTTACATTCCTGTGGAAAGGTGACATAATCACTGAGCATGAGCCCTTGGGTTTAAACTTGAGCTAAGGGCTACAGGGGAACCAGGGTCCCTGCCTGGAATTAAAGCACCCTCACATCTGTCTTCACAAAGGCAGAAGTCTGTGTGCCCCACCTCGGAGCAGCCTGCTGCCTAGTTCTGTGCACGGTCTGGCTGGCAACAGACATGCACTGTAGCACCAGTGGATTCTAATGAATCCCTGCAGAATGGAACCTGTGAGCAAAGTCCTTGGGTCAGGGAAGTACCCCCTGTAAGAGCTTGCCACCTGTACCCCAAATCAACCAGGGCTCTTTGAGGTCCTGGGGCAGCAAGGTGACGAGGTGTTAAGGGGCAGGTCCAGGCGGATGAAGGAGGCAACTGCCAGCCAGGGCTCTAGGCTTCCAGTCAGTTTCCACAACAGAAATCTCCCCCACTCCCCATTTCCTTGTTTTGTCTCCGTTCTTTCCCACCTGATTTCCCGCCAGCCCACAAACCAAGAAGGGGGAAAAAGAAAAGCCACAGACAGCCTTGCAAAACTCGTCTGCCCTGCCCAGCTGGAGTCTGTGGCTGCGTGTGGGGTCTCCACCTGGAGGATTATCTGGGTTCTACTTTCAGGCTGTGATGGGGATGGTGAGACCACTTCCTGGTCCCAGACCCCAGTGTTCCTTGAGCCTGTGCTAAGGTGGGGCTGGCTGCAGAATCCTGAAGGGCCTGCCCAGGGGCAGGCAGTCCTGGACCTGAGAGAGGTAGAGGGGCCACAACAACTTGAGCTTCATGCTGAAGGCCCCTTTCTAGACTTTGGCATAAAGTCTTTTTTTCCCCCTCAAGTTAGGGGGAGGGAACAGGCCCATCGTGAATGTCTGGAACCATGCTGAAGTCCTTACATTCAGGTTGGCTTCAACTGGCCAGTGCTTCAGTCGGCCATCCACCACAGTCCAGTCCAACAGCTGACTGGACTGGATTCTTTTTTGTGGAACTGGTAAGTCACCGAGGACGGCCGATCTTGAGCTTGTCCTCCCAACAGAGAGGTACTACCCCTGGTGAAAAGGACACCAGAGGGCCCTCTTTTTACACAACAGAATGTCAGCACTGGCAGCATCCTTGTCCAGATGAAGAAACAGGCCCAGAGAGGGGAGGTGACCTCCCCAGGGTCTCAGGGACCTGAGAGCAGAGCCAGGGATTCTGGCTTTGTAGCCCTGAGTTAGAAAGCATTTAGGGGCGCCTGGGTGGCGCAGTCGGTTAAGCGTCCGACTTCAGCCAGGTCACGATCTTGCGGTCCGTGAGTTCGAGCCCCGCGTCAGGCTCTGGGCTGATGGCTCGGAGCCTGGACCCTGTTTCCGATTCTGTGTCTCCCTCTCTCTCTGCCCCTCCCCCGTTCATGCTCTGTCTCTCTCTGTCCCAAAAATAAATAAATAAACGTTGAAAAAAAAAAAATTTAAAGAAAGCATTTGATCCTCCATGAAAATAAATACTGAGAATATCACCAAGTTACCACAGTCCGTGACGGGTGGGCCACATTGCCGGCCACTTGGCCCAAAAGGCTGTACGTTTTCTAACTGTAGTCTAAGTTGCTTTAAAAAAGTGAAAAGTCAGAATGTTCCATTTGGAATGTAGTCCCGTTAGGTGGCAGGCTCCACTGCGTGTCCTAAAGGTAATTCACATTTATCAGCTGCATAAAGGATGTTGTAGTGGGATGTTTTATAGAGCAGGTAAACGGAAGGGGTGGCAGCCTCGGGGAACACGTGGTGGTTCAGGGCCGTGTCCATCTCGTCCACATACTCCACCTGTAGGGCGATGTTCAGTGCCTGAGACAGGGCTGTGATCTGGATGTGGTCACACTCCATGGCCATGGGCTCCACTTCCTGCAAAAGCCAAGATGCAAAAACCCAATTTAGGAAGGAGGACGAGGGAGAAACCCAGCCCTGGCTTTGGTGGCCCCGGGTCACAGCGTCTGTGCTGGGAGGTCATCTTAACAACAACTCATCAGGGAGGAGGTAACAGCCAGGAATCTGCTAGGACTGCGAGGCCTGAACCTAGATCTGGATTCTGGGGTGTAGGTGTGTGTGGGAAGAGCATCCTATACTACCTTGAGGAATCGGGAAGGGGGCACAGGAATATTTAAGCTTGGCTTCTTAATGCACAGAACCAAAGAACGTCAGAGCAGAAGAGGACTGGCGTGAAGGGATTTAACAGAGGCCAGGCGAGTGAGTCCAGACGCTGAAGAGGCAACAGAGAGAGGCAGAGATGGTGGCAGGCTGGCGAGTGGGTCCCCTGTAACTGGGGCAGGTGCCTGCCCCTCGGCTCCTGCTGATCGTTGCCACGCAAGAACAAGGCCCTGAGAGCTGGATCTTGGAGAGGAATCCCCTTCGTCCTGAAAACTGCCCAATGTTTAAATGTTGGCCACGCTTTCAGATAAATGCATCATAGGCCAAACACATCTTAGGACAAATGTGACTCTGGGGCTGCTACTCCGCGGTTCTGTAAACGGTCCAATCCGAGGCCCTCATTTCTCAGATGGAGAACCTGAGGCCCAGGCAGGGACAGTACTGGCCCAGAGCCACACAGTTCAGGCAGCTCAAGTAGGGTCTGTTTCTGGCTTGCTCGTCTTGTTCTGCGGTTACAAATGCAGCCGTGACTTCAGGTCCCCTGCCTAGGGATGCTGGTGCTCAAGTCTCTTGAGGGCAGAGGGCCCTGCCCAGCACTTCCCTGCAGCCCACACACGGACTTGTCTGTCCTCCCCAGTGTGTACAATCCCAGGAGGTGGGTGTTGCACAGCAGAGCCCGGGCCTGGGGACTAAGTCCCCAAAGCCTGAGGCCCTGAGGACCTACGTGAATGCAGAAGTCCTCGATGTCCATCTCCTCGTCGATGAAGTGTCGGAAGAAGTCCGCGCGGTTCTTGATGAAGGCCGAGGTGAGCAGGCGCAAGAACTGCACGATCCGGTCTGAGGTGCTCTGGTCATTGAACACCTTCAGCAGGCTGGACACCGAGCCGTCCTTCTCTACGAGTTCCACCACGCTGTAAAACTGCGCCACGGGCTATCAGTCAGGGGAGGCCCGGGCAAGTCCTGCCCTCCTCCGAGGGGCCCTGTCCCCAGGATCCTCCCCTCCGTGTGGATTTCTGTTCTGAAATCCTCAAGTTGAGGTACCAAACTAAATCGATCTGCGACCAAAGTAAGAAGGGTACTCTGCCATGAGCACCTCAGCCCAGAGCCATGTCTGGGGAACAGCAGTTGGGGTCTCCTTCCATCACTGTGGTGGTTGGGATTCTTATTTACAGAGTCAGAACTGAATCCTCCAACCCCGCCCCCTTGCCCCCTTCACGAGGGGGTCAGGGGAGTAGGGTGGAGAGGGAGTGCGTGAAGGAGGCTGGGGGAAGTTTCCAGCTTGAGAGCTACCTCCCAAAGGAGGTACCTCTCCAGGAGGGCAGGGCCCTGTCCCCCCACGTCCCCACAAGCAGGAAGCAAGTGCCAGTCCCTCCCGAGCTGGGAGGAGCCAGACGGGCAGAGCCACAGAGCCGTGGGCCGTGACGGACTCTGGCCAATGCCGGCGGCTGTCTGCTCGGCCAGTGTGGGAGAACCTGGTCCCTCAGCCGTCCTGCCCAGGTTGACTCACAGCATTAAAGAAGTTTCGGAACTTGTGCTCTTCAAAACCGGCAGCCAGAAGGTCATTTGGGGTCTGCAGGACGCGCTCTTTGAACCTGAAGGGGGTGGATTGGGGCTCACGTGGAACGCTTCTGGAGCACAGCTGTGCTGGTCAGTGCCTCCCGCTCTCACCCGCTGCCCCTCACACACCCGAGGAGGCGCGTGTCACTAATAGCTGAATGCCCACCTTTCACAGCACCTCCCCGTGGATCCCACACGGACTTTGCTGTCCTCCCCAGTGTGTACGATCCCAGGAAAGGGGGTATTACACCCATTTCACAGAATAGGAGATTGGGGTCATGACCATCCACTCCCAGTCATGTTGAACTCTGTCCCTCCTTCCCGTCCCCATGGTTCCTGCTGTATCCTTACCATCTGCGGCCTGGGCCACTCCCAGCCTTCCTGTGCTCCCGGTCCCCTCACAGGGACCTCTGGAGTCACCTAGCACAGCCCTCTCCCTCAGGACACAGCTCCTCAGCACAAATGTCTGGCGGGGTGGGCCCTGCCTAGCTCCCCAACCTCTCCTCCCTTTTCACTTTTCAGCCTCCCTTCCCCCACCCTCCCCAGCCACTCCCATTCGCATTTCACTCTGTAGCACCCAGTCCCCTCAACCAGTGGCCTGTACCTACTCACAATAGCTAACTGTTCAGTTTTCAAGATTTGGCAGCCAGTTATTAAACAGCCGTTATTTAAAAATCAAGGTGGGGCACCTGGGTGGCTCAGTCAATTGGGTGGCCGACTTCGGCTCAGGTCATGATCTCGTAGTCCGGGAGTTGAAGCCCTGCATCAGGCTCTGTGCAGACAACTCAGAGCTTAGAGCCTGCTTTGGATTCTCTTTCTCTGCCCCACAGTCTCTCTCTAATTTGAATACACTTTAAATAAATAAATCAAGGTATGTAGGGGTTGCCTGGGTGGCTTAGTCATTAAGCATTTGACTTTGGCTCAGGTCATGATCTCACGGTTCAGGAGTTCCAGCTGGGCTCAAGCCCCGCTTCTGTCTCTCTCTGCCCCTCGCTCACTTGTGCCCTCTCTCAAAGAAAAAAAAAAATCAAGGTCTGTAAACTTAACGATAAAATGAATTCTACTGAGACACACAGATAAACATCCAAACTCAGTTTCCTAACTATCTTTGCTTTCGAGGTTGTCTGTCGTGGACTGCACGACATATGCTGCAGCTTGTGTTTCTCCCCCTCCCCCAGCGACCTCATGACAGTAGCTTGAAAACTAGTCACAACAGGAGTATTTATACCACAAGATGGGCCTTCGTGCCCCGCGGCCATTAAACCTTTGCCGGCACTGACAATCCTTCAGACCCGTCCAAAGGCCCTCGATCCCCCCCACGGTGGGCCCCCAATGGCACAGCCCCCTTCTGAGATCAGTGCTGGTACTCATGGGGGTGTGGTGAGGAGCCCAGCAGCTGCCACAACCCCCAGACACAGTTTAGCAGCGGAGATGATGAGTGACAAGTCACTGGGCTGGAGGGAGGGTAGTGGCCCATGCAAGAGCTGGGGGGGGGGGGGGGCTCTGGGGAACTGGCTGGCACCGGCCAAACTGCAGCCCTGAGAAGGGAGGCCAGACTCTAGTGGGACATGGGGGACCCGGGTCGGGGGGGTGTCACGAGGGACTAATGGCATGAGGAGGTGGTTTAGGTGCCTCATTTTGGGAGAGGGGGTGGTGAGGAGAGAGGGATGGTGTGTGTGTGGAGCAGAGACATCTAGACCGGGAGGTGAAGGCCTGCTGTGGCCAGGGCAGGCGTGGGGAACACCCTGCTGGCAGTTGCTCTTAGGCTTTGGGCCCCCTTCCCTCCCTGGGTTCCCTGAACCTTGGCCGCCTTCCCACATTCATTCCTCGCCTTGACTGCTGAACACCCCCCACCCCCCCTACCAAGCACTGAGGAGCGGCACACGGGCCCAGCCAAGTGGGCAAACACCCCAGCCGGGGCTCCCACCCCTTGAGGTGAGTGTGGCAAGGAGGACAGCGTTGGGACGTGGAACACAGGCTCTCTAGGCTGTAAGGCAGCTTTCGTGTGACCTTGGGCAAGTCTTGTAACCTTCCTGAGGCTCCGTGTACTCAGCTGTAAAACGGGGTAACACGAACCTCGTACATCCTACTGCCCCCTGGATACCCCCGCTGGAAGGCTCACAGATATTTTGGACCCTGCATCACCAGAACAGAGCTCCCCATCTTCCCTCGTCCCCTTTGCGGCAAGCGGCTTTCCCATCCTGGGAACGCTCAGGCCGAACACCCGGCAGCCCTCCTGGGCTCCCCTCAGCTCCGGCACCACAGCCACCAGCCACCCCCACGGGAATCTGGAACCCGACCAATTCCTTCCACCTGCTCACAAAGCCAGCGTCCTCTCCTCTCCCTGAGCACGCTCCTTGCTGCAGCCTCCCAGTCTGTCCTGCGGGTAGCAGGCCCGGCGAGCCTCTGCTCAAACCCTCAGCGGCTCCACCTCATTCAAGCTGAGACTCAAGGTCTCTATGTAGAGGCCCACGAGCCCCCCCACCCCTCACCTCCAACCCCTACTTAAAACTGCAACCCCCCAGCCCCAGACAACTGGGCCGCCTTCCCCACCTAGTTTTTTTCCTACGACACTGAGCAGCACCTGGCACCTCACATGTTCTCTGTTTTCTGCTGGCCTGCCTGCTCCACAGGCAGGGAATTTTGTCTCTTCTCTGCTGCATCCCCAGGGCCTGCAACAGGGTCTCTGTGATGCCCTGCTGGGTGACGCCTGCAGGGAGGGAAGAGGGTGCCCTGGAAGGAGTGTAGGGTGAAGGTAAACAGCATGCCCGGCTGGTACAGACACATAAGGGCCGGGCTTTGCCAGCATCACCGTGCTGGGTCCTCCCAACAACACCCTAAGTGTGCAAAATTATCCACCTTCCACAGATGGTGGAAACGGAGGCTCAGAGAGGCGGGGTAACTAGCCCAAAGTCACACAGCAAGTAAGTAAGAGAGTGAGGTCTGGCCTCAGGGCCCCGGGCCTCGGCATGGCACAACTCTGGGGGACACGGGTGGCGGGGGAAACCCCTGTACTGTACGGTCTCAACCCTCAGGGCTGCGGGGAGACGGCAAAGTGGGTCTGGCACCAGGGTCCACGGATCCAACCCAGGTGCTCTGTGACCTGTGTCTGCTCTGGTCCTGTATGCGTCGCAGAGTGGCCATCAGACTCTCAGGGCAGTGAGAGCTCCAAGGTCAAGAAGCAGGTCTCTTAGCTCCTTGCTGCTCAAAGTGTGGTCTGAGACCCAGCAACGGCGGTGCCTCTGGGAGCTCAAGAGAAACAGAACCGCGGGCCCTGCCCCGGACTGGATCAGAACCACACCCGACGGGATCCAGGCGGGTTGAACAAATGGTGACGCTAGAGAAGCCCTGACCGAAGCCCAGACAAAGGCCTAGAGGGTCGCTCTGGGGGCAGCTGCTGGACAGAGGCCTTCGTCAGCAGCCCGTCAAGAACCTGGCCTGACAAGCTAGACGCCTGGTTACACACACCCAGAAACGGGCGGCCGAACGGGCGGAGCTCCTTCGCTTTCTCCTGGAATCTTCAGGAAGGCAGCCGGTGTGACCCACCCAGGCGGACTCGGGCCAGAGGGCTGGAGGCACCCGTGAGCTCACTGGTTCCACCCCCGGCTGCCGGGCTGCCCCCACCTCCGCCACGGCTGCCCACTCCCGGGTGAGGCGGGCTGTGCCCGGGGAAAGCCGCCCGGCGGGGGTGGGGTGGGGTTCGGGGCCCAGCGCTCCCTCGAGGCCACTCACCTGAGGACGTCCCTGCTCTTCCCCAGCAGAGACTCCAGGTAGGAATAGCCCAAGGCCCGGTAGAAGCAGTTGCCGTCCCCCTTGGTCTTGCGGATCTCAGCGAACCTCTTGCTGAGTTCCTGTGGGGCAGATGAAGGAAATGGGGACATCCGCAACACCGCTGACCCTCGCGTCACATCCTATGGGGACCCAGGGCCCCGAGTCCCCCGGTCCTCTCAGACCGGCCGCCCTTTCCCGGTCTCCCGGCTTCATCACAGAGGTTAAACGATGCTGAGCACGTCCTGGTGGCGGGCGGGAGTCATGGCCCGCCCTCAGGCAGCCTACAGTCTGCGGGAGACGGAACAGGGGAAGCATGGGGGCGTCTCAGAGCAGTGGCAGCTACACCAGACTTCGGAAGTCCGGGAAGGCTTCCTGGAGGAGAAGTGGTGTGCGTGGCGGGGGCGGCATGGGTGAGCGGAGGCCTTGGGTGGGGTGTGACGGGAGGGCCAGGAGTCTGCAGAGCCGGTAGAAAAGGCCCCCGCAGACAGAACCAACCGTCTGCCCAGTCCTTCCAACATTTCTCAAAAGCTGCGGCCTCCCCACGCCACCCACCTCCGGCTCTGCTCCTGGCTGCCCATTTCCCCCTGAAATGGCCCGGAGGCCCCTTTGCTGCCTCGTGGGGCTACAGTCGGGGTTTTGACAGCAGAGGGCACGGCCTTCACGGCGCCGGGGAGCCCCGGCTCCCACCACAGCGACGAGGCGGCTTGGAGCTGACGGGGCCCATCCCAGGCAGGCCAGCAGGAAGACCATGCTCCTTGGGGAACCCCACCTCCTCTCCTGAGTGGGCGCCAGGGCACACGGGTCTGGGCCACCCAGCCCCTGCCCCCGCCCCCGGGGGTGCTCCGCACGGCCGCAGGACAGAAGCAGAGTTCTGCAGCCCCCCAGAGACGGACGGCGCCCAGGCTCCCCCTACTGCCCTGGTTCTGTGAGCATCCTTCCAGCAAACTCCCCATTTGCGTAGCTGGAGTGGCCCTTCCCCGCCGAGAGATGCCCTAACGCCGCGGTTACGGATGCAGCTGGCGACAGAGACCAGGCTGCCTGGTCCGAACGCAGCTTGTCCACGCACTAGCTGCGGGACTGTGGACCCGCCATCTCGTCTCTGGGCCTCGGCTTCCTCAGCCGTCAAACGTGGATGCCACGGTACTGACCCTGCAATACCGGAACGAGGTCTCAGTGAGCACGTAAAGCACTTAGGACAGCACCTAGCTTTAAAATAAATCACTATGTTTTTTTGTGTGTTTGTTGTGGCAACTAAAAGATTTCTCATTAAGGCAAATGCCCAACATCGAAATACTCTGGGAGCCCTTTAATTTGCCTGGGAGCCCAGCCCCAGTGCTCAGCCTTTCTGCCTGCAAAGTGGCACCTTCACCTCCGGTCCCAGCTCCAGCCCCTTTGATCCAAGATCCTCTCCTCCTGAACCTCTGCCTCACCTGGATTTTCCTCTGGTAAATCCTGTTTTCAGGATGAGCCCGAAGAATTGACAGAATGTCACATTTTTCTGATATTAGGTCGAAAGATGTTTCACTCTGAAAGAAAAAGCAGCAAAGCTGTGACCATTTCAAAGCAACTGATGGACTTCCACCAAGGAGGAAGCCTCCGAACTGCTAGTCACGTGACGTAGTGAACGTTACCTTCCCACAAAAGGCACGTGTGAGGAGCTCCCAGCATCCTGGATGCCCTGTTCCCCGGACAAGGGAGTCGGGGTCCGCCCCATCAAATAACTTCCGGCTGGGTTCATTTTAGAGCATCGCCCCTCAAACCTAGTAAGCCTTCATGCTGGAGCACAAGGTGTCCCCTCGTCTCCTGTCCTTCCTGCCTCATTCATTCGTTCTTTTGTTTGCCAACAATTCCTGACCGTCCAGCTTGCCCCAGGGCTGTGCGACAAGCCAGAAACAAGTGAGAACCTCCGGCAGAGGCGCCACCTACCGGTCACAGTCCACACTGCAGCTCGGAAGGAGTCGGTCTGCTCCAACCCAGAGGCGGGGCTCTGCCGGGAAGAAATCTGCAGGGAGCGGTAAGGGCAGGAGACCTCTCCGTTTCAATAGCCAACTCCCTGCCAGCCTCCTCCCTGCCTCATGCTGTTCCTGCCCAGACAAGTGGGAGACGCACCCCTGCCTCCAGCCCACCCCCCGGAACGGCTCTGATCTCAGCACGAAAATAACGGAAGAGGAACTGGTGTTAAAGCCACGTGTTGTTGAATTTAAGATGAGCGGCCCGGTACCTGCACACAAACAACCCAAGGAGACAAGTTACGCCACGGCACACAGGTGAAAGGTTGGGGTTACTGGGGATTTCTGGGAATGGAAATCCAGTTTCCCATCAATTTGCTGCCGTCATTTTCGGCAGAGTCGTCACCACTTTGACTTTACGCCTCCAACCGGGAGGCCCTTTCCCGGGCAGTCTCTCTGCCTCCCCATGGACTCAACAGTGACCTCAGCTCCGCACCACAGGGCTCACAGAGGAGCCTCGAGGTCACAAGCCCCTTTCCACCTGGAAAGGCGTCTGGGTTTCTGATGATTAGATTTCTCCAAAGCTCACCACCGGAAGCAGGGAGCTGGGCCACGAGATCATACGATGAGGTGGAAGGGACTCGCAGGGCTACCCGTCTCCACACTGGACGGACTCAAGCTTCTGTCTCACAGTGAGCTTCTTTGGCTCTGATTCCTGTACCCAGCAGCCAGGACAGAGAAGCGCTTTGGCTGGTTCGGGACATTTCTCGGGGCCCGGATGCTCCCTGCCATCCAGGTCTCCGAAGCCACATAGGCCTCCCTTGGTGTAGAGCATCTACCTGATTCCCCAGGGCCCCTCACAGGGCCTGGAACAGAGCAGGGGATGAGAGGTTTGTTAAACGAATAAAAGCCACCTCCTCCATGAAATCTCCCTGGCTGCCCCACCCCATCCAAGTCTGGCTTGGGCTCTCCCTTGAGCTCACACTATATTCCTTCTCTCCCTTTCTGGTGACCCCAAACATGCCTTCTCCTGGATTTGGGGGGGGGGGGGGGTCAGGCCAACCAGAGAAAAACCTAAGGGTGGAGAAGGAGGACTGTGTTGTCCCAAGAAGAACAGGAGAAAAAGGGTTTCTAAAGGAGGGAACAGGCCCTGCAAATGCCTGGGTGGGGGTGGGAGGAAGAGACTCTGAGTTTTCCTTCTGGAAGCTTCCATTCCATATCCATCCTTCTTTGCAAAATTAACTTAGCTTCGGGCTCCTTCCTCACGTCGGCTCTGACATGACAGGGGCAGGGAAACCATCGGAAGTCCAATAACCATTTGGGGGCAGATGCTGTGGGGTTGTTTTTCCATCAGTCACGGCCCATTTCCTCCCTACTTAACAGGGTTCCTGTTTTACTCCAGGCTGAGTGGTAGAAAATGACTTTCAGTTTTAGATAAAAGGAACCAAGCTCACAGGCCCTACCCCTTCCTCTTCCTTCCTGCCTGCAGTGCAGATGCAACATCTGTATTACAGCAGCCATCCTGTGGTCGTGAGGCTGAAAGCCAATACAGAGAGAATGGTTTGATGTTCTGCTGCTATGCTAAGCCCAAGATGTAGGACAGAAGAGGCGCCATGATCGTATACCCGCTACGTGCCATGGTCTGGGACAGAGCCTTACATATCCCCGTTAGCACATTTAACCCCCGAGAACAATTACCCTACCCGCTCTACTGACAAGGTCAGGTCCCTCGTGCCAGGAAGGGATTTAATGCAGATCTGACCGAGACCCATGGACGCTCTACCAAGCCAAAACTGCCGGGCAGACAGATCTCCTGAGGGATCAAGGTTGCTAGACTGTGGCCCCAGCGGGCAGACAGCATAGCTCTCTACCAGCTCACAGTCTACAGCAGTATCCCCCAAGCCGAGGACACTCGTCACGGGGGAACAAGAGACGGTTTACAGGTGTTGTCCGCACACGGGGTTAAAAGGCATTGAGGCATCTGGAGGGAAAGTTATTCTCTATTCAATTCCCTTCCAACCTAATCACGCCAAGGAGCAAGTTGGCTTCCAGTATACCTTTAATGCTCTACTAGCCTCTTTTGACCAGCGAGCAGGGAGCCTAAACGTGTTCCATTTTCTTTTTCTTTTTAAGTAAGCTGGATGCCCAGTGTGGGACTCGAGCTCACGACCTGGAGATCAAGAGTCACAACTCTGCCAGCTGAGCCAGGCAGATGCCCCCAAGTATTCCATTTTTATTTGCGATCCTTTTTTTTTTTTTTTTAATTTTTTTTTTCAACGTTTATTTATTTTTTGGGACAGAGAGAGACAGAGCATGAACGGGGGAAGGGCAGAGAGAGAGGGAGACACAGAATCGGAAACAGGCTCCAGGCTCTGAGCCATCAGCCCAGAGCCCGACGCGGGGCTCGAACTCGCGGACCGCGAGATCGTGACCTGGCTGAAGTCGGACGCTTAACCGACTGCGCCACCCAGGCGCCCCTTGCGATCCTTTTTAGATGTAACACAAGCCAGCTTTGGGGGCACCTGGCTGGCCCAGTCCATGGAGCTGTGACTCTTGATGTGTGGGTCATGAATTCAAGTCCTACGTTGGGCACAGAGCTTACTTAAGAAACAAGCCAGCTTTATTAACTTCCTTGTTGTATCTTTAAAAGTTGACGTGATTTGATCTATTCTAAATCACGGAAGATTTCCGTTATTCGCATGACAACGGTTGCTGGCGAGCAGTTGATTTTGCGCTCCTACTGTGCGCTAATGGAGCAAGTACCCACGGGACCCCGTAAGTTTCAGAATAGGAAGTCCACCTTTGCTGCCTGGGGGGGAAAGTAAGGTGGCACCCAGGTATGTTTAAACACAGCAGGTGCCCCGACTCTGCAGCACCCTCTCGCCCAGTCTTATTTTACTCCAGAGTCCCATTAACCACCTCACTAACAGAAGTCCGGTTTTACGGACAGCAGACTTAAAATGTTGGCTCAGGTCTTTCTAAACATGGATTAAAAAGCAGTACAACCAGTATTTGATGCCTACTTTGATGCCTGGCCTGCCCCAAACAAAACCCAACCAAATGGTGGGGTGGGGGAACATGAAGTTAGGGGGGAGCGAAGGGCGTGTGGAAGGGAGTTTAAGGAATTAATCTGAACTATGTAAGGACAAGCACTTGAGGTAGAAAGCTGCCAACAAGTCAAAAATGAGAATATGAACACTAGATCAAGGAAAGGGACATGCGTCTTGTACCAGGGAAGCCAATGCAGGGTTTCTACTTGCCCCAGGGTAAACTTGGCCTTTTGGGGGCAGCTGGGTGGCTCAGTCAGTTAAGCGTCTGACTTTGGATTTTGGCTCAGGTCATGATGTCACGGTTCGTGGGATCAAGCACCACACTGGGCTCTGCACTGACCGTGGGGAGCCTGATCGGGATTCTCCCTTTCCCTCAAAGATAAACATTTAAAAAAAAATATGGGGCGCCTGGGTGGCGCAGTCGGTCGAGCGTCCGACTTCAGCCAGGTCACGATCTCGCGGTCCGTGAGTTCGAGCCCCGCGTCGGGCTCTGGGCTGATGGCTCGGAGCCTGGAGCCTGTTTCCGATTCTGTGTCTCCCTCTCTCTCTCTGCCCCTCCCCCGTTCATGCTCTGTCTCTCTCTGTCCCCAAAATAAATAAACGTTGAAAAAAAATTTTTTTTAAAAAATAATAAAGTTGGCATTTGGGGCAAATTTACGTGAGCTACTTAATTTAAAGGGAAACTGTCAAATAGCACTTTGTGGGGGGGGGGTTGCTCTCGGCACTGAGAGCCAACCTCATCACACTTGGGGTTAGAGAGACCCGCGGTCAACACTGGCTTCCCCTTCATTCCCGTTGCCAAGCCCCATCTTCTATGGGTGGTCCCTGTGGTATGTCGGTCAATATGTACCCATCTTTTTATGGCAGTAAAATATACCCAACATAAAATATACCCCCATAGCCACTTTTAAGCGTACAGTTTGGTGGCATTACGTATGTTCACACTGTTGTGCGACCATCTCCACCATCCCTTTCCAGAACCTTCCATCCCCACCTGAAACTCTACCCATTAAACACCAACTCCTCATTCCCTGCACCCCACGCCCCCATCCCAGTCCCTGAACCCACCATTCTGTTCTTGGTCTCTGAATTTGCCCATCCTAGGGACCTCATGTAAGTGGAATGTATTGGTTTTCTTCAAACCACGGAGTTGTTTTCTGTTTGCATGCGTTTTCTTTTGTAATTTACATCCAAGTTAGCATATAGTGTGATGATTTCAAGAGTAGATCTAGTGATTCATCCCCAATGTATAACACCCAGTGCTCATCCCGACAAGTGTCCTCCTTAGTGTCCCTTCCCCATTTAGCCCATCCCCCCCACCACCCCTCCAGCAACCCTGTTTGTTTTCTGTATTTAAGGGTCTGTTTTTACATTATTTTATGTTTGCATGTGTTTTAAATGTGTATACATATTATTCTACAGATATCGTGGCCTTTTTATTTTTCTTCACTCAGTGCTATTTAAGATTTAGCCCTCCTGACAAATGGTTGCCCAGTGGTCTTCCTCTATCTACCACGGGTGATAGCC